GCACCGGTGGGGGCCTATGGGGAAAAATCGCAAAGCGATTTTTCCCCATAGGGAACATCGCAATGCGATCGCTTTTGCGATTGCAAAAAACAAATCGCTATGCGGATTCGTCATTAAAAGGGGCACTCGTTATGCGAGGCACCACTGTAATACTCTGGCCAATGAAGACAGTAAATACAAAAGAATAGGTAACATTGGTGTGGAGAAGGAAGAATTTGAAATTCTGAATTTGTATACTTTAGTTCAATCATAAACCAAAACAAAGACTTCAACAACAAAAAATCAAAAAGAGATAAAGCCTGTCTGGACCGTTGGTCCAGATAGGCGGGATAAAAATGAAATGAAATGAAATGAAATGAAATGAAATGAAATGAAATAAATAAATAAATAAATAAATTGTAAATATATCCATTAAGAAACTAGAGAAGATCCTTATGTGTAGGGATGTGACACTAGAAATGATAGAGTATGCTATTCCTAATTATTCTGTGTAGATGTGAACACTGGTTAATGAAGAAAGCCGAAATGACGTGTTGAAGGAGAGTTCATGGACTGCCAGAAAGAAAAATATGCAGAGTGGGCTAGACAGTAAAACTTGATTTAAATCACTATTTTTGACATTAAGGATTATTCTTGCTAGCTGTTATAACCTTAACATTTAAACCTAGATGAAGGGTTATCATTCATTTTTAGAATAGTAACTTTTCAGCTGAACTTTATCGTTCTATAAAAATTTAATGATTATCTGGTTATTTCCCATTTGAAACTGATAATTACAAAATCACTGCAAGATTAACTATATCCAGTTTAATAGATTAATCATTTATATTTGGGCAACTTTTCTGCTGTGCTTTATTGGAAAGAGAAAAATGCTCATTAACAATAAGAAATTAATTGTTTTATTTTACTAAAATAATAACATTTGTAGAAGTACAAGTAGGTTGATTAAAAACTTATCTTTTTATAATGATGAAAACATTTGACCTATAGTTTCTCTTAACCAGAAAACCATCTTTAGATAGATTTTTACTTAAAACATTTAATCAAACAAAATTCAATTTAAATGACTCCAATTATATTTGGGCAACTTTTCTGCTGTGCTTTATTGGAAAGAGAAAAATGCTCATTAACAATAAGAAATTAATTGTTTTATTTTACTAAAATAATAACATTTGTAGAAGTACAAGTAGGTTGATTAAAAACTTATCTTTTTATAATGATGAAAACATTTGACCTATAGTTTCTCTTAACCAGAAAACCATCATTAGATAGATTTTTTACTTAAAACATTTAATCAAACAAAATTCAATTTAAATTTTAAGACTCCAATTTAATTTTTTAAATGTTTTTTAATCATTGATTTGTATCCACCCTACAAATAAGTGAATTTTAGATCAAGTCAATCTTGTACTCTCACTAGAAAATGAAATGATTGAGCTAAAGCTACTGAACTTTGGGCGTGTCATGACAAGGCAAGATTTACTGGAAAAGACAATGATGTTTGGAAAAGTTGAAGGCAATATGAAAAGAAAATGACCTCATATGAGATAGCTTGAAAGAAAGCCACAACAGTTAGTCTGCAGTATGTGAGAAGGGCTATTAATAACATGACCTTCTGGATCACTAATTCATAGAGTTTCCATAACACAGAAGAGCCTTGATGGCACATAACAACACCTTAACAACACTGACACCCACTGGGCTTCAAGGGTGGGAATTAGCTATGCCACTTCACATTGACATAGTTTAGATATGTGATTCTGGTGCCTCTGACTGGAATGAAGGGACTGTGAATCCAGCAGATCTAAGGCTGTTTGACACTCAAAATGCCCCAAAACAACCCTTTTGAGGGCTTACCAATAGAAGATTGACAGGTTACCCACCTGTAATTGTAGTTCTTCGAGTGGACCTCTGTGATTTACATCCTGGGTGATCCGCACCTGTGTGGAGCCTCATTGGAAAGTTCTAGAGCTTCTGCGGTAGCAAAAAAAACTCACATTAGAATAAGACACTCCCCCCCTCATATAAGTAGCTTGGCGCCAAGGCTCCCCTTCCAGTTGTGTCAACCGCGGCTACATTAAGCAGAATGGTGCGACAGTGGGAAGGACGGACGGGATGTGTGAATCAAAGAAGTCCACTCGAAGAAGTACAATTGCAGGTGGGTAACCTGTCGTTCTTCTTTGTGGCCTCTGTGGATCACACCCTGGGTGATTAAAAAGCTGTCTTACCTGGAGGCAGGGTGTCATGCCAAGGTAGAAGCTAGAACAGCATGTCCAAAGGCCACATCAGACTTTTAACGGAGATCAAGTCTATAATGCCAGATTAAAGTGGGTGGCTGTGCCCAAGTGACAGAGGCGCAGATGTCTGGAAGAGGTACGCCGCGTAGGAATACCACAGGGGTCGCCACTGCTCTAGTGGACTGAGG